ACAGTGCACCCTGAAGGAGCCCCTCCCACCGACAGCGAAAGCAAGGAGGTGGGCAGCACCGAGACAAGCCAAGATGGAGATGCCAGCTCCAGAGAAGGTGAAATTCGGGTCATGGATGAGGACATCATGGTAGAACCAGGTGATGATTCATGGGATCTGGTCACGTGTTACTGCCGAAAGCCCTTTGCAGGGCGGCCCATGATTGAGTGCAGCCTGTCCACGTGGACGTGGATCCACCTCTCCTGTGCTAAGATTAAGAAGACCAATGTCCCTGACTTCTTTTATTGCCAGAAATGCAAGGAACTGTGGCCAGAGGCCCGGCCGTTAGGGGGCCCTCCAAAATCTGGAGAACCCTGACAGCGCTAACTTGAAGCTGGAACTTTCAAATGACAACATGACTTGGGAACTGAGCCTCAGGGTCCTCAGCCTACCCCCTGGAGCTTGGATACTGTCCCCTTTTCAAGGCAGGAATTCTCAAAGGAGACTTGTTTGAAAATAAGTGTCTCAAATTCCTACCTGATCTTTCCTCCCCACTCTGTGAACTTGAAATCGACCCATTACAGTTGGGGGCGGGAGGCTGGCTGGGTCTGTAGACACATAATCTCTGTCTCTTGGTCCTGTCACCCATCACTTTTTGGAATTGGGATGGAATGGGACAGTTGTCTATAAAACTCTAGTGTAAATATAGCACTCCCCTCCCTCATCTTTTCTTCTATTTCACTCCCCATTTATTTTCTTCTCCACCGGTTCGATTGTATTTTTAATTTTGGACTTCCTCTTTTGGGCATGGTAGCTCAAAGGTGGAGTACTATAGCCTGGCCAAGCAAGGAAGGAAAGCAGAAAGGTGATGATTCTCACTCACCTTTTTTGTTTTTAATATTGGCCAGCAGTTTGTACAGACAGCCTGCGTGTTGTAAATAAAGCAGAGTGGGCTCTTTAAAAAAAAAAGGACAAAAAGAAGGACCAAGAAAGCATAGGCGTCATTCAGCAAGTCATGCTGTTGGTGTCAAGTGTGGCATTGTTGCTCTGGAATTATTCTTCGTTTTCTAGGATAAACCCAGTAAATGTGCAGAACCAGAATCGCTATTATTATTGCAAGAGGAAAAAAACGTGCAAATACAGAACCAAATAGGTTAAGAATTGCGCTGCAGTCTTACATTTGAGTTGCGAATGTGCATGTAATCGCATGATTTACAAACAGAGCACGGATCCCCCAGTCCCGCCACTGCACAGGACGAGAGGTGACGGCCACCCGGCAGCCACAGGTGCTCAGGGTACCTGGATGTCGGTCTCTGACCCACCTTGTCCTGATTCCAGACGCAGGGACCTGCCCCATCCCTCACCAGACACCAGGGAAGACGTCAGCCACGAACGAGGTCACGTCAGAGCCACAGAGGGCCCGTGGGCGGGCTTCCCTGGCCAAAGCATCACAGGGCCACGATGGCAACGTACCGAAACACAAGTGATACACGAAAATCCCTTCGCCCTCAATGATGCTACAAAAAAGAAAGTAAAAAAAAAAATTTAACCTGCTTGTTACCTTCGGAGTTAATTTTTGTGCCAATTCCTTATTCTGAAAATTGGTTATGACAAGGAGAAACAGGGAAGGAACGGAGCATTTATCTTTTCTGCACAACCTGTGTTTCGAGGTAACCAAACAGCCGCAGTAGACGAGGAGGAGAATTCCAGAGACGCATCTAGATCGGGTGTGGGAAGGTAAAAATAGTCACCGTGTTGCAAGCCCCTGTGAGGTAACGAGTCCAGCAACCCCGCCAGCGGGTGCTAAAGCCATTAAGGCCAGTGTCACGGGACACTGGATCCCCGGGGAGCGCAGTGTCCCCCGCCGGCCGCGTGGAGGGAAGGGCCAGGCTGTCGGCACGTGTGCAGCCCTGGCGCCTGTGGGCCAGCCCCGCCAGACACCGGGCAGTGCCACGCGTGTGACACCCCACGAGTGTCCTCCAGGTGTCCCTCCGGGTCTCAGTCCCTGTTTGCAGGAGACCACTGGGGAGCAGAGCCGGAGGACCGCTGAGCAGGGACATCCTGAATGAGAGGCCTCTTGCCCCGGTTTCTTGAACGACCTTTGGCGTGAAAAAAAATAAATAATTGGAGGTGACAGTTCTAGATCAGGAAGAAATTCCAGAGGCACAGGGACCAGGCGCAGAGCGGGGACTTGGCACCGTTGCCCAGACCAACCAACTGCAAAACGGCGCCGTGGGGACCGCAGGGAGGAAGATGTGGCCTGGGTGGGTCGCTGCCGAGGACACCTGGGTGCTGGGTGAGAGGGCAGCGTGGGGATCCCGTCTGAGTCCTTATCTGCCAACCATTCACAGGCAGCATTCAGGGGCGAACCGGCAGCGCGCGCGATTCCTCCAAAACACTTCACACACGGCGACAGCAATGCACATGCAGTGGGAGACCCGCACCGTGAGCTTGCTGGTATCCATACGGGGTGTCATGTGTGCTCCCGTGTCCTATGTTCGAATGTCGTCGCAATAAACGGGTTTGAAGGGCTGGGGGGAGGAGGCCTGCTCACTACCTCGGGCGTCCCTGCGCTGTTCTGGTAAAAGCACAGGCAGCCCTGTCCCCATGCCCCGGGTCTCACTCTGGTCACAATAGCAAACTCGCCAGCCTCTCCTCCATCCCCTCCCTCCTGCACCCCTGCCGGGAGTCTCCGGGGCTGGCGGGGCCTCGGAAGTCTGCGTGGGGAACGCCCTGGCTCCACGCGCTGGGAACGCGGCTGCCCAGGCCCGACTCCCGACTGAGCCCCCCCCCCCCACCAGCCTGACTTCAGCACTGGAAACAGCCCCCACCCAGGCCCCAGGGCGCTGCACCACACACATGTGCGACACCCACAGGTGCCCAGCGAGGACTGGCACAGCACAAGGGTGGCATGTGACCTGCCGAGCCCCCGGTTGGCCTGGCACACCAGTGCACGGGGACCGGGTGACGTCAAGACGTGCCCACGCCGCCCTCGCCCACCCCCCCCAAGCTATCTGCAGGGACAGCCTCCCCACGCTGGGTCTCCGAGCCTGGCCTTGTCCAGCCGCCGGGAGGTGGCAGCTCACGGTGTGGAAGCAACAGGACACGGGAAGGCGACGACACGGATCTCACATGGAAATTCAGCCCAAGGAGACAGCCTTGCAAATGCACAGATTCCTTTAGGGTGACAGTCCCCGCAAGTGCTAGAAATGTATGGTGGGGAAAACAGCCTGGATCTCTAAGGCAGCTCTGAAATAAGGCCATGTCAAAGAGGAATGTTTAAAGACAGGAAGATGCTCGGATATATTAAGTTGAAAAGCAGAGTGGATACACAGACGGCTCCAAGTTATGTTATATCATATTATGATATAAAACAAGCTGGAAGAAAATCCACTGAAATTTCTCAAACGTCTTCTGGGCGGTAGGATGGAAGGAGGTTTCTGCTCTTGCTTGCTGTGGTTTCCCTGCCGCTGTGCGGCCCGGGCATCATTTACTGGTCACGTGCTGTGCTCTCGGCATCTGGTCTCGAGCCTCACCTGCGAGTTACAGGTGCTACTGTCGACATCTCGAGGCAGAGCAAACTGAAACCCAAACGTCGAAGCGACTCGGCTGTGGGTGGCTGAGCCGGGTTGGGGCCTGCACCACCAGAGCCCCAGGGACGCCACACGGCTCAGGGACCTTGTGACACGCGGCGTCCTGGGCCCCACCCCGGGCTTCTGATGAGATCTGTCTTATGGGGGGGGGGAATAATCTGCATTAACAAGCTCCTGGGCGGTGCAGCTCTCACCAGGAAGCGGGCTCCTCCATGCCCGGCCTGCCAGGGAGGCCAGAGTGCTGGGCATGCGGGTCCTGACGGCACCCAGGCCTGTGGTCGGCCCTGGCCCCAGCCAGCCCGGAAGAGGCAGGTGGATGTCAGGGCTGCCGACCCTACCCCCACTGCACTGATGGGGGAGGCGGGGGAGGGGCGGCTGCAGCCCTGGCCCGACCCCGAGAGGGGCTGGAGGTCCCCCCACCCCCCGGACTCTCCCTGGGTGGGCACCGGCTCCGTCCCCTCAGGTCTCTGTGAACAAGACACGCCCTAGAGGGGGGATCGCACCGGTCTCCTGAGCCTGGCGGTGCTTTCCGTGTTCAGCCGTGTTGCGCGGCCCGCTTTACGGACAAGGAGCTGGGGCCTTCGGTGCAGCCTGTGGGGGGGGGGGTCACCGAGGGCAAGGACCAGGCAGGGTCTGGACACAGGTCTGTCGATGGCAAAGTCCTATGGGCACCAAACAACAGCGGATCTCGCAGGCTGCAGGAGCATTTGAAGCCTGGGGAGGTGCAGGCAGGCATAGCTTCCAGAAGGTTCTGTGGGGACAGGGATCTTGGCTGAGCAACCACAAGGAGCCTGACTCAGCCTGTGGGTGAGAGGGCAGCCCTGCCCCTGCACAGCCCGGCACTGGCCCGGCCTTGGCCTCTGGGGCCGGAGGGGCCGGGAAGGTCTGCCCCACCAGGAGTAGACGGCGCCCGGTCCCTGCGGCTCCACCACAATGTTGGCGGCTGCTGAGCGGAGGGCCAAGTGTTGGGGCTGCCGGCGCCCCCCTCGCTGGCTGGGGGCAGGTCCCCGGCTCCTAGTTTCCCGCCTTGAGGCCGGGCTGGCGTCAGGCCCCGAGGGGAACCCAGCCCGAGGCCGTGGAGGGCGGCCGACCCCAAGTGTCCATGGGGACACTCAAATCCCACTGGTTCCCCCGGAGTCTGTCCTCACCGCCTAAGGGGAGCGTCCTCAAGCCCGGGGGAAGATCGCGGCGTCTCCCTGCTCCCAGAGAGTGACGCCTGCCAGGTTTCCGCCCGAGACGTCGGTTCTTGGTGCTCACGGCCGAAGAGCGAGCAGACGCACCGAAGCCGGGCGAGCTCGCAGGTGAGGCTCGCTGGGGGAGAAGAAGGGCTGCAGGGCGGGGGCGGGAACAGCGCCCGGCGCCCACGCCACGGATGACGACCGCACCCACTGTCACGGCACAGGGACAGCCACGGAAGGGCCTGGCCACGGTCTGCGTGCTGTTTCATGGTGTCCAGGTCGGGGCCTCCATGGCTCAGCCGTCGCCATGGAGCCACTTAGACCGGACGGTTGGGAGTTCAACCGTCCGCAGCTGCGCCTGCGGCTGTTCCAGGTCACTTGGCAGACTGTGTTGCCCGCACAGCTCGGCCCTCGGGCTAGAGAGCCCTCCGCACCCTTCTGCAGCTGGCGGGCCGAGCTCTGACTGCAGATTCTCGGGGTGTCCCCTGCTCCCCCGGACGTGGCAGTCGCGCAGGGCAGGATCAGGGTGGGGCCGGGGGCCCACGCTTGTCCTTCCCAGGTGGGGCAGTGGCACCCAGGCAAGGCACAGGCTTTCGTCCCTAGGAGCCCCAGAGCCCCTCGCTGCCCACCTAACAAAGCCACTCCCCGAACCGAGCGCCCAGGAGGCTGCAGCCGACCACCGCTGGGCCCTCGGGGCGGGGCTCCTGCTCAGGACCTTCAGCCCCGCTCCTCTGGGACAGCGGCTCCTTCTCCGGAGGCAGGAGGGCGGCCTGCTGGTGGAGGGCCTGAGTCCCGGCGTCCTTCCTCCCCCGCTGCGTGGGTTTCAGGGCCGCTCGGACTCTGGGGCCGTGTCCTCATGGCTCGGTGGAGCTGGTGGCAGGGCTTCCTCTGCCGGGGCTGTGGGGGTCCCCCAGGGGCCGCTCGGGAAGTAGATGTCGGACCCCACGATGCACAGGTCCTGCCCCCAGACCCGCGATATTGCCCGAGATGGCAAAGGACAAGACCGAGCTAAGGATCGGAGAAGAGGCGTTCACACTGGATTACCGGGGTGGGGTGGAGTGTCCCAAACGCCATCGCACGTCCTCGTAAGGACGTGGCCCAGGAGGAGCAGACACCGGGGGAGGCGGCCGAGTGAAGGCACAGGTCAGCAGAGACCAGGATGACTTGGGCCCAAGCCGGGAACACCGTGGCCACCAGGAGCTGGGGGAGGCGGGAAGGACCCTCCCCTGGGGCCGTCGGGGGCCGCAGCCCTGCCGGCGCCTTGGCCTCGGCCCTCTGGCCCCCAGAGCCGGGAGAGAAGACGTTCCTGCCGTGAGCCACCCGGTCTGCGAGGGGCAGCCCCAGGGAGCCCACATGAGTGCGGGGCTCAGTCACCGGAATGACGAGGCAAGTGCCGGCGGACGGCCGTGGTCACTGGGCGCATGGGGACAGCCAGAGACCATCCTGCTCTGCCCGGCAGGCTTAGCAAGGGCCACCGGCCCCTCAGCACCCACAGGTGTCCGGAGGGTCTGGTGGGGCTCTGAGCCTGGAGGTGTGGCCAACTGGTCACTGGGAAGGGACATCAGCCTCCTGGGATCCCACCCTCCCCGACCATCCCACTGCCCCGAGGCTCCCTGGCCATGCGGGGTGGGACGTCTGCAAATCTCCCGCCCAGACCAGCGGGGCTCGCACCCCTCGCCCTCCCGTCCGGGCGCGGCCACCCGTGGCCTCTTGCAGGAGAGGCTTCGAGGTCACTCACGGCCCCCGGCCGGAGGCTCTTCCCTTGGGCCCCTCTGTGTCAAGTGCCGCCTCCCCCGAGCAGTCCTCCCCACCATCCCACCCAAAGCGGCACCCGGCACCGCCTTTCACCTCAGGTGCCCCGAGGCCCTGCCCGGCGCTTGCCAGGCGGGCAGAGTGTGGGAGGCCGGGGCACGCGCTCAGGTCAGGGTGTCCGGCTTCGAGTCTGGCTCTGCCCCTTGCCCCCTGTAACTTCTCTGTTCCTTGGGCTCATCCTCAGTCGGTGAGGACTGTGGCGGTTCCTGCTGCACAGGGTGGGTGAGAGGCTGAGCTGGGAGCGGCAGCAGGGAGGGCAGCGTGGGGTGTCGGCGGCCACAGTCAGACCCGGGGCTGCTCTGCGGAGGGTGGCCACCACACTCAGCCCACAGGGGCCACTCTCGAAGGAGTACGTGACGGGTGAGTGACCCGGTCCCACTTCCCGGCCCTGCCACATGCCGGGCCCCGGGACTTAGCTAAGCACTTGGGAAGCAGAGCTCCAGGCAGGCTCCACCACAGGGCTGGGACGGAGCCCCGGAATCTGTGTGTTTAGGGCCTGCCCAATTCGCATATCGGGGCAGACCCGCCGCACCCCGAGTGCACCAGCATTGCGGGTCACCAGTCCAGTGAGACGGTCCCAGTGCGACGGTCCCCTTTCCCACTTGGTGGGGTGGGGGCACGGCTGCCCGGCCCGGCCTCCCGCCGCGGGCACCAGAGAGCGCGTGCGTGCTGAGCTTGCCCGGGACAGCGGGCCGTCATGTGGACCACGTCCACAGCGGCCGGCCTCCCCTGACTCCGCTAGACTGAGCCTCTGAGCCCCTGCTTGCTGGGGAGGGGCTTTGGGGCCCCCTCTGGTGCCATGAGGTTTGCGGCGCGCTTTTTAAAGGAACCCCTTTTTATATTAAAACAATAAAGTATTCCAGGGGAGCACGCTCATCCGTCCCGGTGCTGACGCAGAAACTGAGGCAGCAGAAAGGATTCGAGGTTAGACTTCTAACTCGCAAAAGCAGGCACCAGTCACGCTTGTGGGTGGCCCGGGGAGACCGAGGCTGGGGCGGGACGCAGCCGCAGCCCCGGGGCCCACTCTGCGGGGCGCAAGGGGCACCTGGGGCTGCGGAAGTGGGGAGAGGCCAGGGCAGACCCCGCATGGGGGAGCTGGCCCCGCCACCCTCCGTCTGGGATCTCCGGCTGCCAGGCCGTGGGGACAGGGGTTTCTGTGGTTGGAGCCCCTGTGCGTGGAGCTTTGCCACAGCCCGAGCTGGCTCAGGTTGGAAGCGGCACCAATTCCAGCGACCTGGCCACCGGCCCCAGAGAGCCCAGGCCCCTCTGCATACCGCGCCTCCCCATGCAGGGTCCTGCTCATGTCCTGGGCTCCTGGGCCACCAGGGGCAGGAAGGACACTTCCTCCACCCCAACCCTGGGTTGGGGGACAACTCGGGGTCCTCACTGCCCCCTCAACCCCCTAGGGGCCCCTCTTCCTGTTGCCCTGGCAACCCAGGCTGCTCCGAGTGGCAGAAGCTTGGCCCTGGGCTAGGGCAGCCCCAGGGGTGAGGAGCAGCGTGGACTTGCGTGGGAGCCCGCCCGACCTCGGCTCCCCGTTTCCCACCTCTCCTCTCGGTCTCATCCCGTGGGTTCATGCACCCGGCCCGTGGCACCCCACAGCTGTGCAGATGGGTCACTCCCTCCTCCTGGTCTCCTGGTCACCCTCCTCTCCAGTCCTCACGCTGCAGGCCCCAGGTGCCTTCCAACAGTCGCTGGGGACCCTCCCCGACGAGCCGCTGGTGTGTATCCCCAGCCCGTGGGTCATGGATCCCATCAGCCTGCCCTGCTGCCCGGAGGTGCCCCCTCCTACCCTGGAGCCCTCCCCCTCTGGCTAGGCCACTCCTGCCCGCCTCCGAGGCTCAGCTCTGTCTCACACTCAGCAAAGAGAACCTGCACGTATTTTAACCACTCAGCCCCGCCCCTCCCTGCAGGGCCTCCAGGGCGCCTCCTGCCCAGTGCACCTGCGCCCTGCAGCCCCCACCCCCAGCTCCCACGTGCAGCAGACACTTGAGCCCAGGACACCTGGGGACAGGCAGGGGACCCCCGACAGTTCTGTGGGCAGCCCCATCCTGTCCCCTCCACCCCGACCTCTGCAGGTGCCTCCCAGCCACTGAACCCCGCAGACAGACACAGGGCAGGCGGGCTGAGAAGACCAGGGCCCTGCCCCCGCCCTGGATACAGGGGAGGAACTCGGCCGGGTGCCCAGCTGGCCCTGCTGGCTGGAGGGCAGCGGTGCAGCAGCTTGTGTTGGCTGCTACAGAGGGGACCCCGGACTCCAGGGCGGCCTCAGCAAAGGCCCTGGCAGAGGGTCACAGCCCCCACCCCTGGAAGGCTGCAGCTCCTCCCCCTCTGGGTGGCATCAGTTCCCTTTGTTGCCCCCCTTTGTTGGGGCAGAATGGGGGGGCAGGACACCTCCACTGCCCTGCGACGGGAGGTCCTCCTAGCAGGACCCGCCACTCCCTCCCTGCCCCTCCCCCACCACAGATCAGCCTGCTTGGGGTCCTCCCGGCAGGTCACCATGCCCAGTCCCCCCTTTTCTTACGGTGCTGCCGCTAGGCCCTTAAGCACAGCAAAGCCTGTCTTAGAGTACCTTTTACACTGGTTGCTTCACACATGGGGACTAAACAGGACTCCTGGATGTAAAATATGCTATCAATGAGATTAGACACTCAATCTAGTAAACAGCATATGAGATGCACTCAGGGAAAATTAGCCAGGCCCGGTGGCTCACGCCTGTAATCCTAGCACACTGGGAGGCCGAGGCGGGAGGATCACTTGAGGTCAGGAGTTCGAGACCAGCCTGAGCAAGAGCAAGATCCCATCTCTACTAAATATAGAAAAATTAGCTGGGTGTCGTGGAGGCGAGTTGGGGGTCCCAGCTATAGTTAGTCCCAGCTACTCGGGAGGCTGGGGCAGGAGGGTTGCTTGAGCCCAGGAGTTGGAGACTGCAGTGAGCTACGATGACACCACTGCACTCTACCCGGGGCGACAGGGCAAAACTTTGTCTCAAAAATAAAAATAAAAATAAAAATAAAGGAAATTAGTAAACTGAAAGATAAGTCTGAACAAATTACACAGAAAGCCACACAAAGAATCCGAAAGCATAAAAGATGTTTAGAGACACAGGGGAGGTAGCAGAGAAACATTAATTATCTAGTTAGAGCACGAAAGGAGACGGGAGAAGAGAGAAGAGGCGATGTTCGTAAAGACAAAGGCAGAGGCGCTAACCCTGGGTTAGGGCCCCGTGAATCCCGAGCAGGTTAATAAACACAAACGTGTGGAGAAACAGCACACAACACTGAAGTCAGAGAGAAGTTTTGAAAAGCAGCCAGAGGGAGAAGAGGGATGGCCTCGTTGTTAGTCAGGTGGACTAATAGGTGACTTCTCAACAGCCGTTGTGGGAGCCAAAACTGGAAAAGTGTGTGTATGAGTGTGTGTGCATGTCTGTGTCAGTGCATGTGTGTACATCTGTATGAGCGTGTGTACGTCTGTGTGTGTGCACATCTGCATGAGAGCGTGTACGCATGTGTGTGAGTGTGGTGCGCACGTCTGTGTGACTATGTGTGCACGTCTGTGTGACTACATGTGCACATCTGTGTGAGTGCGTGTGTGTGTGTGTCTGTGTGAGTGCATGTGTGCACATCTGTGTAAGTGTGTGTACATCTGTGTGCATGTGTACATGTGTATGAGTATGTGTGTGCATGCATGCTCATTGTGTAAGTTCATTGTGTGTGCATGTCTGTGAATGTGTGTGTACATGTGTGCGTGTGTGCACGCATCTGTATGAATGCGTGTGTGCATATCTGTGTGAGTGTGTGTACATCTGTATGAGTGCGTGTGTGTGCACATCTGTGTGAGTGTGTGCACATCTGTGTGAGTGCGTGTGCACATGTGAGTGTAGGAGTATCAATCAACTGAAAAAAAATTGTCATCTTAAAGTCATATGTCCAATGAAAATATGAATGAGAGGAGGAAAGGAAAATTTTCAAGCTAACAGAAAAGAGTAGACCAGGTAGACCGCCTGCAAGAAACACGTAAGGGATTTGCTACCGAAAGCTCGGCACTTGTGCTCGAGGCCGCGTCAGAAGAACGAGAACAGGTGGTTTGAGCAGAAGGACAGAGAAGTTTATTACTTTGCCAGCCAAGGAGGAAACATGGCAGCCCTTCTTGTCTCAGAATCCAGATCTCCTGCACGTGAGCAGAAACACGGAGCTTCCAAAGGGAGGGCGCTCAGTCCCAGGCTCCTGTGTCAACTATCCTGACGGTCCCGTCTCTGCCAGAGAGAGACAGGGCCCACCTGGGCCCACCCGGGCCGGCCTGGGGTGGCTGAGCTATCCATCGTAACAAAGGACTTAACCTGCCTCGGGGACGCAGGCCGGGCCTCGGTTCCCAGAAAGAGCGGGGAACGTTTCACAGAGACAGAGAATATCTCTGCCGTTTGGTTTTTTCCCCAGGCCCTTCCCTCTGTTATAAGTTCCCTCGGAAGGCGAGAGTGAAAGGGAACCCGGAACAGTGCTGAGCTGTGAGAAGTTTCTGGAGGCACGTCCCGACAGTGGCCCTCTCTAAGTCGTGTCATGGGACGCACCACTCTGACCGAGGTCAGAAGGGCCTGGTCATATTAGTAAAAGGGCCCCCAGTCCCTTGCTTGTGTGGAGGAGGGTCCAGGCGTCAGCTAACTTTCGGTTCTCGTCCTGTTGCACGTGTCACCCGAGTCCCTGGTTCCCACGGCGCGCAGTGGGGAGTGTGAGCTCCGTGGCGGGGGGAGAAGCTTCCCCCCAGCACACGGGCTCCGACCGTCCAGCCCCCACGACGGCGCCAACCACTGCACCGCCCCTCACCACCCCACAGCCCGGCATCAGAGTCCCCTGCGCCCCTCTGGTCACACTCCCAGCTCGGGGCGGGGCTCTGCCCTCCTTAGTCCACGGCCTGGGGTGACCCCCCTCCTGCCCACCAGGTGGTCAAGTCTCATCCTCCTTCCAGGACCCACCCAGGTGGCCCCACCGCTGGGCAGCCATCCCTGCCACCGACGAGCAGGGACCGGCGTCCTCCTGCTGAGCACAGCTGCTGGCAATCCTGGATCACTGCTGCCCTCGCAGCCCGGGTCCTCAGCGGCTCATGGCGGCGACCGGTGCCGGCACTACAGGTGGGGCTGAGAAACATTTAACAATGACTTGGTTTGCATTTGAGCCCCTACCAGCCCAGGGGTGCATTCAGCCGGGGCAGGCCCCAGCCCAGGCCCTCTGCACTGGGGTGCATAGTGTCCCCCTAAAATTTATGTCCACTGGAACCCGTGAATGTGACCTGTGGAAATAGGGTCTCTGCAGATGTAATCAGGTTAGCATCAGGTCACCCTGGACTAGCATGGCCCTAACTCCAACATGAGGGGGTCCTTTTGGAAGAGGGGGATTTAGCCACAGCACACGGGAAGCACGCAGCACCCGTGACGACGGGGCAGGGACCAGGGGGTGCAGCCCAGGAGCCCCAAGGAGCCCCAAAGAGTGCCAAGGAGCAGCCCAGGAGCCCCAAGGAGCGCCAAGGAGCCCCAATGAGCCCCAAGGAGCAACAAAGAGCCCCAAGGAGCCCCAAGGTGCAACAAGGAGCCCCAAGGAGCAATAAGGAGCACTAAGGAGCCCCAAGGAGCAACAAGGAGCCCCAAGGAGCTCCTAGGAGCCCCTAGGAGCAACAAAGAGCCCCAAGGAGCCCCAAGGAGTGCCAAGGAGCCCCAAGGTGCAACAAGGAGCCCCAAGGAGCCCCTAGGAGCGCCAAGGAGCCCCAAGGAGCCCCTAGGAGCGCCAAGGAGCCCCAAGGAGCCCCAAGGAGCCACAAGGAGCAACAAGGAGCCCCAAGGAGCCCCAAGGAGCCCCTAGGAGCGCCAAGGAGCGCCAAAGAGCCCCAAGGAGCAACAAGGAGCCCCAAGGAGCAACAAGGAGCCCCAAGGAGCAACAAGGAGCCCCAAGGAGCCCCTAGGAGCCCCTAGGAGCGCCAAGGAGCCCCAAGGAGCAACAAGGAGCACCAAAGAGCTCCAGCCACCAGCAGCAGCAGCTAAAAGAGAGGTGAGGAAAGACTCTCCCTGGAAACCTGTCCTGCCCTGACCTGGGGCTCCTGGCCTCCAGAGCAGTGACGTGAACTTTTGTTGTGCTCATTAGGCAGCCTTGGGAAACGGACATCCTGTCTAAGTGGGAACATCTGGGCCGGGCGCCAGGGTGGACCGGCCTGAGTGCAGCAGCGGGTGAGAGTCGCATCCCCATCGAGGACCTGCCCCTCCACAGCCCTGGGCCGGGGCCGGGCTCTGCACAGCGCCCTCCACCGGGAGCCCACCGAGGAGGCTCGGCTGGAGCCCTGCCCTCCCGACGTGGCCCTCGCCAGGCATCTAGGGAGGTGACTCCCCGAAACCCTTCGGCCATGGTCTCACTTCTCATGGCATCAAGGGGTGTGTGTGCAGCTCGCGCCCTGGGGTGGGGCCAGGCGGGCTGTCACCCGGGAGAGCTCCTGGACCAGGGGGAAGGAGCTGCATGTCCAGGGTCTCAGAGACGCATGTGGCTGCCCATCAGGGAGGAGTTGGTGACTTGCAATAAATGCAAGTGCAGTGGCTCACGCCTGTAGTCCTAGCACTCTGAGAGGCCAAGGCGGGAGGATCGCTCAAGGTCAGGAGTTCGACACCAGCCTGAGCAAGAGCGAGACCCTGTCTCTACTAAAAATAGAAAGAAATTAATTGGCCAACTAAAAATACATAGAAAAAATTAGCCAGGCACAGTGGCACATGCCTGTAGTCCCAGCTACTCAGGAGGCTGAGGCAGGAGGATTGCCTGAGCCCAGGAGTCTGAGGTTGCTGTGAGCTAGGCTGACGCCACGGCACTCACTCTAGCCTGGGCAACAGAGTGAGACTCTGTGTCACAAAAAAAAAAAAAAAAAAGGTAATGACAGCTATCCCCTGCTGAGAGTTTATGACGTGGCCGCTGCCCTGGGAAGCAGTCTGTGCATCACCTCGTTTAATCTCACGCCACCCCGCACAGCACGTGCTCTGTGGGCACATGTTCCATGAGAAATTGAGTGAGATGTATAATCGTGAATAAGAGAAAGGATGTCAATACGTGACAACAAGAAATGATGAGACGACTTACGATACATGCGAATAACAGAATGCGACACGGTCACGTATCACTGTGAATTTGAAGGGCGTTGAATGACGTGTGCGCACAGTAATTTCCGAAGAGGGAACAGGACGCGCAAGGGGGAGACGCCGCCCCGGCTGCAGAGCGACGTCAATGCAGTCCACGGCGTGCACAGAGTGGAGGTCGGGGAGACACCCCGAAACGCTACAGATCCTCGCCTCTGGGCCGTGAGATCGCAGCGACTTCAAATTTCTTATTTGTGCCATTCAACATTTACCAAATTCTTCCAATTTTATTTTATGCTCTTTTATTTTATTTTCGAGACAGGCTCTCGCTCTGTGGCCCGGGCTGGCGTGCAGTGGCTCAGTCACAGCTCACGGCAGCCTCCAACTCCCGGGCTCAAGCGTCCTCCCGCTGCGGCCTCCCGCGTTGCTGGGGTTATAGGTGTGCGCCACCACGCCTGGAAACGCCTTTAAATTAAAAAAAATACTTTAATTTTTCATGGGAAGAAGGGATTTACTGCCAGCGATCAGAAACTGGGAATGGAGCATGTAAGAGAACACGGCATGTAAGAGAACACGGCATGTAAGAGAACACGGCAAGGCCAGAGAAGCACCTGCTTCCCGCAAGCCCTCGACACCTGGGCTGACCACGAGCGCGGCTCTGCAGCTGTGTTGTTGTTACTTTGGGAATGTTCTAGAAGTCCCAGACCCCAGGGGAAGAAAGGTCCAACTTGGGGTCCCCAGCCTGGGGAGCACCCACTGCCTGTCTGTTCCCTCCAAGGGCCTGGAGGAGCTGGGTCGGCACCCGGGGGCTCCCCACTCCGGGACGGCCGGGGCCTGCAGGTTCTGGCCCCCAAAGGCCCCCCATGCCCTGCAGCTACCAGGCCAGGGTTCCTTGAGGTGGCACCTTCACCACCCCTGAGGTGCGGGAGCCCACGGGCAGGGGTATGTTGGCCGGAAGGGCAAAGTCCCCCACCACGCTGGTCCCCCCTGGACTCAGGGAGGGAAGGGACTGCGGCTTCCCCAGGTGCCAAGTCCCGGAGCCTTCCTCAGTCCCAGGGTCACGCCAGCTGGGACGTTCCTGCTGATCAGAGCGGGACACACAGGGTGGAATCGGCGAGTGGCAGCTCAAAGGAGCAGGGAGGGTGGAGGCCAGTGATGGGCGAGGAAAACCCAGACAGGCTACTGTGGGGCGCAGAGGGGCAGAGCCCCGGCCCCCACTGCGGCCACCTTCCCTCGGGCGGCAGGTGGGACCTGGCCACGCCTGGGCGCGGAGATGCGCCTGACCAGGAGAAGCGTTGCTCCCCAGCTCTGCGAGACCCACGGGAAGAGTGACACCACGTCTGTGTCCCAGGAGCTCCCCGAGGAGGGGACAGGCACAGGCGCTTGGCTGGGTCCCCCAGGGGGGCTTTGCGGTCAGCTCTGATGCTCAGCACTGTTAGCACTGGGGGCACAAAACCCTCACTGTGGGGAGCTGCCGTGTGCCTTGTGGGATGTTGAGCAGCCCCCGTGGCCGCGCCCCCTGTGTGCTAATGGCACCCCCAAGCTGTGGCGACCCAAATTGTCCACAGACACTGCCAAACGTCCCCCATGGAGACCCACTGATACAGAGGGTCTGGTGAGGAGGGAGGTGCAAACGCCCCAGGCTCCCTTCCAGGCCGAAGTCTGCAAGTTCTGGGTCACAAAGAACAGCTTTTGTGCAAAAGCTCCAGGGTGCAGGGGGGCGGGGCCCAGCTGGATTTGTCCTCAGGGCAGATGAGGAAATAAACAAAGGGCCCAGGAAGGAAGGGGCTGTGGCAGGAAAACCCCTGAGTTGCAGAAGTGATTTGACCAACTCAAAATATTTGCATAGAACCGTTTGCATTTGAGTGACCTAAGCTTTTGGAAAGTGCAGACTCCATGGGCCCCATGGCTAAGGGACATCCTTGTCAGGGAGGTGGGGTGGGAGCTGAGTGGAGCTTTCCCACATGGCAGCAGGGGCGAGCATGCACCTGTGTGTGTGCATGCATGTGTGTGTGTGCACATGTGTGCGTGCATGTGCGTGTGTGTATGTGTGCGTGTGTGTGCACATGTGTGTGCATGTGTGTGCGTGTGTGTGCACATGTGTGTGCATGTGTGTATACGTGCGTGTGTGTGCGTGCGTGCATGTGCATGTGGAGCTGGGGAGGTTGCTAAAATAATAGATCAGTGAGTTAACAAAAAATGGAAAAGTGTTTGAGTCAATGAAGAATTTTGCATTATTAAAAATAAGAAACTTCATATAAAGTATATATACTCTACAAGAGATGTGACCTCACTATGACACAAGAGCAGTGAGCCGCAGGGGCCTCCCAGCTTCTGCATGGCACCACTGGGCCAGGGTGTCCCTCACATGCTCTTGGCCTGTCCGTGGCACAGGAGGGGTGTGGGTGGCACCGCCCCCCACTGGGAGCAGCTCATACACTGACCTCTCCCACCCAGGGAATGGACTTAGCTACTTATTCTGCTAACAGGTCACGCCAGGACATGGCATAACACCCAGGAAGCACGCCGTGTGTCTCTCTCCCCTGGGTTTCCAGCAGCAGCGGGTTGAATGGTGAGCCCCGAAACATGCATCCGCCCAGAACCTGCAAATGTGGCCGAATTTGGGGAAAGCGTGTTTGCAGATGTCTTTAAGGATCTCTAGATGAGATCGTGCTGAATCAGAGAGGGCCCTGGATCCTGTGAAGATGCTCCTATAAGAGGAGAGAAGGATAGGACACACACACCGTGAGGGCCACGCGACCACAGGGGCAGAGGCTGGCGTGACGAGGCCACAGGCCGAGGAATGCCAAGAATTGCGAGAAAACCCCTAGAGGCTGGAGGAGGCAAAGGGTCCTCCCCAAGTGCATAGAGAAAGCATGGCCCTGCAGACACGTGGGCTTGGACTTTTGGCCCCAGAACTGGGACGGGACACATGTTTGTTGTTTAGGCCACGTGGTCTGTGGTACTGTGTCATAGTGGCCCCACACACGCACTCGGTGCCCCATCCCGAGGAGCTGCTGCCGGGCTCGTGTCCCCAGGTAACACCCGATGTCCCGTCCTGCACCTTGCTCCTTGCACCTGGCAGTAACCTGCGAAGATGCTGCACGTGAAGCTGCCTCCCGCTCTCCGCAGCGGCCTGGCTCTAGTCCCGCTGTGTAGACGGGGCGTGATGGATGGACATCTGACCAGGCTCTCACCGGGCTCATTGGATCTGGGTCCTCTCTCATCCACTACTCGGTCTGACTGTCCTGTCCACGTCTCCATTATCACCACTGCGTGGGCTCAGCGAGCAGGGAGATCCATTTCAGATGTGTTCCACTATCGAGCCATCTTCACATCTCCTGCGGCTTGGCTTACGGTTTTTACACAGTGTGATCCACATTTTTGTACTGATACTCATTCACGAAACCGCCCTGCGGTTTTCTTTCTGTGCTTATCTCATTGGGGTTTGGTGCCATTTTTATGCCAGGTTCATAAAGAGAATTTGGAAATTGTCTTTCCTTGTTTACACTTGGCAGCCTTTTACATGGCGCTGGTGGTGCCTGTTCCTGCAGAGCGCGGTGGGGTCACCTGTGAGGCCGTCAGGGCCTGGAGCCATTTGTGGCTCAGTCATTGTACCAGGATTCCCGCCCCGGTTGTCTGCAGCCAAGATCAGTGGGGCAGCAGGGGGCTGGTGCAGTAGAGGGCAACAGGGCAGCTTGGGAATGCACCGTCTACAGAGAACTTTAAAACAATAACAGTAAACCCAACTATTATTCCCACGGGCTGTCAATCCTAAACAGGCAGTGACAGAATTCACTGTCTTCCTAAGGAGGACGCCCTGCCTTGATACGCCCGCACTGGGACCAGCGTGGGAGCCACCCTCCTCCGGGAGCCAGCACAGCCTGGGGGTTAGAACAGCTGAGCTGGTGCAAAGTTGCAGTGTTTCCAAACCATGCTAATTTGTCCCCTAGAATGAGAAGACGGATAATGAGAGTTTTTTGTCAAAGTGGTTCCGTGACGCTATTATAAAATATTAGGGAAACTCCCAAAGAAACCCCAACCCTACAAAAATATGAAGCATAGCAGTTCCCAAAAAAAGTTAAACAAAATTACTGTCTATCCAGCAATTCCTTTTTCTGTGCATATATCCAAAAGATTTGAAAGCAAGGACTCAGAGGGATGCTTGTACCCACATGTTCCTGAGAGCACTGTCCCCCCATAGCCAAAAGGCGGGAGCTGCCCAAGTGCTCCCTGGGAGATGAACAGACGAGCAGAAAGAGGAATACGCACGCCATGGACCGCTCCCCACTCAGCCTCACGAAGGAGGGACGTGCCATGACGTGGGGGACACGGGAGGGCATCGTGCCAAGTGTGCTAAGCTGGTCACAAGGACAAATACTGTCCGATGTCACCCCCGTGAGGTCCCTAGAGTCAAACTCATAGAGACAGAAAGTAGCATGGTGGGTGCCAGGGGCTGGGGCAGGGGACCGGGAGTTAGTGTTTAATGGGGCAGTTCCTGCTGGGAAAGGTGGAACATTCCGGAGACGGATGGTGGAGATGGTTGCACGACAACGTGAATGTACCTAAATGCCTGTGAACTGCGCACTTAAAAATGGTTGAAACAGCAAATTTTATGTTATGTATATTTTTCCGCAATACCATAAATAAAGTGGTAAAACAAAAAGTTCTTCTACTTGTTCAAAGTAAACAGAAAAGTCATTGCTAGAAAACCTTCAAAAAAGAACAGCCAAGGAGAGAAGCATGAGGGATGTTACACCCTGGCTGTCGGACCTGAGGCCCAGAAGTGTGTCTGCTCCGGGCAGCCTCCCGCTCTCTCCCCGCCCGCTGCTGTGGCGGTTCCCAGCAGGTGGCTCTTTCCCCGGATGCCGTGAGACGCTCCCTCTTTCTGGGGCTTTTCCACCAACTAGGTCTTATCAGACGCTTAATCCCTGGTCTCTGTTCTGTGAAAGAAAATAAGAATCTCAGGACCACCCACCCCAACGCCTTGTGCAAAGAGAAGGCAAAGTCCTCGGGCTCCTGCCAAGAGCTGGCCCACGACCACTTGCTAAGACAATTCTGTGGGCCGGGCACGGTGGCTCACGCCTGTAATCTCAGCACTCTGGGAGGCTGAGGCAGGAAGATCGCTTGAGGTCAGGAGTTTGAGACCAGCCTGGGCAAGAGCAAGACCAGTTTCTACTAAAATAGAAAAATTAGCCGGGCGTGGTGGCACATGCCTGTAGTCCCAGCCACTCGGGAGGCTGAGGCAGGAGGATCGCTTGAGCCCAGGAGTCTGAGGTTGCTGTGAGCTAGGCTGACGCCATGGCACCCTAGCCCGGGCAACAGAGTGAGACTCTGCCTCAAAAAAAGAAACAAAGAAAAGAAAATTCTGCGCTGACCTCCCATGAGCAAGAACACGCACATTGCAAGTTGGGTCCGTCATGCCCTAAACACCAGAGTCTGTTGATTCCATGCCAATAGCAATCGCAAGTTTGTCTTCACAGGTGCAAGACAGAGATAAGACGGGATCAGACTCCCTTCCCCATCTGCATAAGTGACACTTCCTTCCCTCCCTTTTTCCCCCTCTACCCTTCACCTTATCTTATGTGAAATGTAGATTTTCCCGAGTCTGTCTCACTAACCCCTACCTATATTTTTTTTTCTTTATGCCTTTAAACGATGAAGCTTCCAAATGCCCCTTCAGAGAATCAGCCACAGCTGTGTCTGTGGTGAGTGTTTTTCCCGGGCACGTCCTCAACTTTGCCTTCATAAACCTCCATTGATTGAGATCTTCGCCTCAGTCGCTTGTTTTGAGTTGACATTCCATAAACTCCAGGAGTTTAATTCCCGGGGCTCCGGGGCCATTCCGCCCGTAGAGGAGGCCCTGAGAAGCGAGCGGGTGCCTTCCGCTGGAGGGGGCTAGCCCACCTGTGGGAGGAAGCCTGGCGCCCCGGGGACGTCCCCCGAGGCTGGGGTGGCGGCGTTGCCTCCCCTGCACGGTCCCTTGAGGGGCCGGGCCACCCAGCTGCCTGCAGCGAAGGGCTCTCCTCGTCCCGAACCGTGGCCTCGGTCACTGGGGGGTGCACAGAGCCTGGCGTGCAGCCCACTCGGGCCGTGGCTGGTTTGGCGGTAAGTGACAAGCAGGAGAGGGGACACACGGCCGCCGGACGGACTCAGGCGCTGCAGGAGGAGCAGCAAACTCCCTGCTTTCGTCCTCCGCTTCAGAAACAGAGCTGAGCCGCTGAAACAGCTGCTCTCCCGGCTCAGGCGTGGGCGGTGGCGGGCCGGGGCACACGTAAACATTCTAGAACCTGCGAGATCATCTGCTGTGCTAACCGTTGTGCGGGAGAGCCCGCCGTGGGACGCGGAAGGCTGCCGGGGCACTTCCTGCGTGGGACGCGCTTCCTCCTGCCCGCGGTGGGGGAGGGGTGCTCCCGCCCGCCACGGCTTCACGCTCCCCCGGGCCGACTCTCAAGGCACTTCTTAAAAGTCTCATTTAAATGTTGCAAAC